TCAAATATCTCTAAACCACCTAATACATAACTGGGCACATAGTAAGTACTCAGTAAATACCTGGCGGTTGTGAAGACCAGACTGAATGTTCATGTGTTTGTTTTCACACATGTGTGTCGAACACACTCAGAAGTTGGGGGGAATGAATACAATTTTAGATGGTGAGGTGAGAGAACGACACTATGTGAAACTGTGGAATACAAGATTTATTTAAGGGAAAAAACAGCAAGGTTTGGATACTTTTGTTCTCCCCTCCTTCAGCCTCCTGCTGCTCAGTATCACGTGGCCAACCATATCCTGGTCTCTGAGATCCTAAGAGAGTCATTGAGGTCCTGTCTAGATACTTGACTGTCTGGCATTCCTATTCCCCCATTGCTTCCTCCTCGTCCTCCTCCTCTGTCCAGCTCAGATCATCTGAATCCTCAGATTCTTCCTCATCCATCTCTAACCCAACCCCTGCCTTAGCCTTCTCAGCTAGTGCATCGGGGTGCTCCAGCTGGGCCCAGGATCCTGGGTCAGCCTTCACCAGGGAGATTTCAACCCGAGATGGCATCAAGGAGACAGAGCTCTGCTCCACGTTTATGACCTGAGGAAGAGGGAATAGCAGAGGAACAGAGAAAAAAAGAGAAAATGAGGAAATCAAAGGGATCGGGGTCAGGGTGGGGTGGTGATAAATGACAGGGAGAAAAATCCAAATGTAAGGTGGGGAAAAAGATGGAAGAATAAGACAACATAGTAAGGAAGAGAGAGAAGGAAGAAAGAAAGAAAGTGCAGAGGGAAAAGGGGGAGGAGAGGGGGAGAGAGAGAGAGAGAGAGAGAGAGAGAGAGAGAGAGAGAGAGAGAATTTCAAAGCAAACGAAGAGAAAACCTCCACTTTTTCCCACAGCAACTCCTTTCCTCAAGACACCCTCTCTTCGTTGCAGTCTGGCCCTTCTTTTTACCCCACCTGCCCTCCCTCCTGTGCCCCCTTATCTTCACTTACCCCCCAGAGCTTCATCTGTGCTTGGAATACACGGTTACCATCAAAGACAATGTGGACATGAAGCTGAGAGAAAAGAATTACAGGAGTGGTAACAATGCCAGAAGATCAAAAGGAGTCGTTACGACACCGAACCAGGACACAGGCGTGATCCGTACATCCACGGGTCAGTCAGATGACCACGACCTAATAGCTCTATCTTCCTGTCAGGGGACTAAGGAGCCCACATGTTAACTTCACACAGCAACTCTGCCTGTAGGATTGTAATATCACCCAATTCACTAGCCTCGTATCCAGCATCAGACATTCCTCACCTCAGTTTGACTGGCCTTCACCCAGTTGAACGCAGGAAGTGGAATCTGGCCATACACAGTCACCACTACCAGGGAATCTGTCTGGTGCCAGTCGTGACGGCAAGATGCTGGTAGCTAAAGAGATGTGAAATGGTGGTAAAAATGAACTCTTTTTAAATAAAGATTTTATTTATTTATTTTTAGAGAAAGGGGAAGGGAGGGAGAAACAGAGGGAGAGAAACATCCATGTGTGGTTGCCTCTCATGCGCCCCCGCTGGGGACCTGGCCTGCAACCCAGGCATGTGCCCTGACTGGGAATCCAACCGGTGACTCTTTGGTTCTGAGTCTGGCGCTCAATCCACTGAATCATACCAGCCACGGTTGAACTCTTACCCCAACAGGAGTTTTCACGGTTTGTGTGGAGAAGAGAGACAGGGCCTCAGAAAGATTAGCACCATCTTATATTGCAAAGCTTCTGGGCCGTTGAGGGATAAGGAGCAGTATCTTATTTGGTCCGTACAAAAGGGAGAAGATAGAGAGCTTGGCTATGAGGTACAGGGAGCAAAAATCATTTCTGGAAGTGGGTTCTAATCAAGAGTTCAGGAAAGTTGGAGCTCACCTGCTTTACCCAGTCATGTCTGCCAACTCTGCATCCTGGCTGTGCCAGGAATGCCCCAAAATCCAGGGTCTGGATGCCACAACAGCTCCAAGACTTCATCCTGAGGTGGGAAGATAACTCACCTGAATCCCTTTCCAATCCCACAAGCCCCCACTCCTATCTTATGATCAACACTGGGAGAAACCTTTCTCGCAGCCCACCCAGTACTCTTCCCTCACCCCTCATGGAATCGAGGTGCTCCTGGGTGGTAGGTGCATGGAGTAGCATCACTCTCAGGGCCTTGGTAAACCTTAGGTGAAAGAGAATAGAAAAAGAATCTGGTCATTCTAAAGTGTACCCCACACAACCTCCTATCTATTCCCAGTCATCCCTAGGGTGCAGTATCCCTCAGCCACATGCTTGAGCCCCAACAAACTCTCACTCACAGCATCACATCCTGGGTTCTGGCAGCTGGAACCAGTCCGGATCAGACTACTATCAAGTCCTAGGCAAGGGAACCAGAGTCAAGAACCTGTCCATTCCCTCCACCCAATTGCCTTTCACTAAATTCCAGTCTGTGAGGCCTGTCATTCTAAGGCCCCAGTTACCTGCACCAGATTCATGGTCTAATTCCTTCTGTTCCAACGCCATTTCCAGGGCTTGGGATATGTTTAGTGGAAGCAGCTTTGGAGGCAACTCTGACCTAGGGATGAGGGTGTGGTAATTTAGTTCTGACTCATTAACCGTGACTGACAGCTCCAACACTACCCAGTGCTAATGGAGTTGAAGAAGTGTGGGGAAAGTGGGGTCAGGGTTGGAGAAATGGGGTAGCAGCCCCATTGCCAATTTTTCTTTCTGTGGCATCCCAAACCCTTGACCTTGGGGAAATCCCCAGGACTTCTCTTGCCCATCTACTCAGTTGCTCTTAATCTCACATTTCTCTGTAGAGTCGCATCATTTCCTCTTCCTCTAATTAATTGTGGACCTAATATGACTTTCTTCTGTTGTGCACACTATTTCTGCAAAATTAACTTACTCTTCTTTGCAGCCTCCTGGCTGCCAATACTACTGCATCCTTTTCTTGTAAAACTATTTTAGCCTTGGCCTGGTAGCTCAGTTGGTTAGAAGCATCAACCCAATAGGCCAAGGCTGTGGGTTCAATCCCTGGTCAGGGCACATACAAGAATCAGCCAATGAATGCCTAAGTGGGTGGAACAACAAATCAATGTTTCTCTCCACCCACCCCCATCCTGTCTTTCTAATCAATTTTGAAAAAAAAACCATTTTAGCCCTGGCTGGTGTGGCTCAGTGGATTCAGTGCTAGCCTGTGAACCAAAAGGTCGCCGGTTCGATTCCTAGTCAGGGCATATGCCTAAATTGTGGGCCAGGTCCCCGGTTGGGGGTGTGCAGGAGGCAACCACACATTGATGTTTCTCTTCCTCTCTTTCTCCCTCCCTTCCCCTCTCTCTAAAAATAACATAAAATAAAATAAAAAACTATGTTAAAGCTCTTTTCCAAAAAGAAAAGAATCAAGTCCTTCCCAACAATCCTCCCTTGCATTATAACTAAGTGTGTGTTCATGAGGGCCTATCTGCTCTGTTAAAATGCCTACCCCATCACTCCAAATCACCTTACAGCAAAGGACACTATTGTTTCCAGATTTCCCCTATGGCACGAAATGCGCACCAAGCCCTGACACCTGGCCTCACATCTCTACTCCCTAGCTCCCAAACCCCAGTGACCCGTTAGTCAGTCCTAGGAAGCTCTGTGAATGTAGCAAAAACCCTGGGACCTCCTCTTTACTTGGGCCTCTCCCGGAGCAAAGTCTCTGCTGACTTTGGAATCGCAGTCAGTTTTTGCTCCTGAAGTGAACTGCTTGTGCCAGGGCCCTCAGGTTGAGGGGCTTCAGGGAGCTTCTCAGCACAGTGTGGTCCCACAGTACAGCCCTAGTACACAGGATAAGGAGAGGATTAGAGATAGAATCCTTCTATTAGGGGCAGAATCTGAGGAAGTAAAGAATTTACCTTGATGTTTAAGAACTCAGAGAAATCTACGGTTCGCTTCCGGCAGCAGGACCAACCCTGATAACGAGACCCAGCTCAGCTTAGATTCCTGGGTGCATTTCCTTTGGGAATGGCTCTTGCTATCCCCCCTCACCTATACCTCACCTTAAGTGCATCATGGAAGATTGGGATTCCAGGGTGATGGCAACAGGAATCTGTGGATACCGGTAGAAGGATCAAGAAAAGAAACGATACCAAATGTCACTTCTAACCTCTTCCCTGGGTTTACATGCTAAGGTTTTTCCATATTATGTAAAAAAACAAAACAGTAAAGATCAAAGACCATGCAGACCAAACTAGGGCAGGTACATTGAACTTTTCTACTCCTTTAACGGACTGCCCGCAGAGGACCACTCCCCAGCACCCACAGAGCCCCTGGCAAGACCAGGATTACTCACCAGGGAAGTTGGTACTGGGGTCAAAGTGCTGCCCACAGCCTTTGTTATGGCACAGTAGGGACATGGAGGCGTTGATAAATTACTGAAAGGGTATTTCAAGGAGTCTGGCTGCCGAGTGGGGAACACCTCTTAGTCTGGAAGCTTTTAGCTGCCTGGAAGAGCCAGCTGTGTCTATCTTTAGTTCAGGAGGCGTACACCTCCTAACATGGGCAAGGGAACTTCAACTAGTCTTCCCAGCCAATAGGAAAGAGCTCAGGAGCATTTCAGCTCTGAGGCTCAAGAAAAGGATCAGGCAGAGTAGGGCTTGGAACTTGGGTGAGGTCAGCTAACCACTGAGACCGTTTTAGATTTACCATGCCAATTCCAACCCTCTGACATACCAGCAGCTGCTCAGAAACAAATAGCAATTGAGACCCCTCCCAGCTCAACGAGGGTACCCCAGTCCCCCAGCCCATTTTCTTTCAAAGCAGCTCTCCTCCCATCCTTCTTCTCAGTGCCACCTATAGCACTGATCTCATCAACCGCTTCAGCCATTGTATGCGTCCAACCTCTGCCACCTTTGCCTAGATGGATGATAAATACTACAGAACCTACTGCTCATCTCCTGAGACAGAACTCCCCTCCCTCCCTTCCCTTTCAAAAATAGCACAGGAAATTAAAAGGCTTAAAATGTATTTTAATAAGTTGATGCTGCATTACTGCTCCATTTTCCAGAAAAACTCCAGAGGTATCAGGGACAAATCAAACATGGTACACCAATTAAAAAAATGCACAGCATAACTACCTAAGATAGGCAAGGCTAAGAGCTACTGTCCGACATTCAGCATACAGCAACCCTGTTCCCAAGATTGTACTAGGCCTATCAAGAAAAGCTGTGAACAGCGACATCAGACACAAAACAGCCATTCCTGGGTTGTCCTTACCCAAGAAAAAGATGGAGGCAAGTTAACACAATATTCTTTTTAAAAGATATACTAAAATGAAAATCTCTAAGAGAAAATGTCTTCCTTAGGACATGAAGGGATTATATGGGATATAACAGAACCGTATGCATGTTATCTGTGACCTCTGTGGACATTTGCCTGAATTCCCACCTGGGAGTGAATGGAGGGATGGGCTTAAGGTCATTGGGGGATGTTTGTGGGTTTTGTGGTATATATGTATGTGTGTGTGTGTATATATATATATATGGCAACACACATATATGGATATGGATATATATCTATAGATATAGATATATATCTATAGATATATATATATATATATATATATGGCAGTGTCTGTGGGGTTGGGGAGTTTAAGAATGAGAAAGCAAATACAAGATAAACAAAGAATGGAATGATCAAGATTAATGGGGGCTCTAACTGGATCCACTTTGCCATTGTTCCCTCCCTCCCAGGCCCTCAATAATCACATGAGACTTCAGGAATGCACCACAAAGATATGATTAAATGATATACCACACAGAATTCATTTGTTAAATATCACCCCTCCCTTGCCCTCTGCCTCCAGTATACTCCCGAGAGTAGTACAGGCAGGGAAGACCTAACTATTGGGAGGAATCCCTAACACTTTTCCAGGGTAGAATTCCGGCTAGTCCAAAAAGGGTCCTTCTCTTACGGGTTTTGGGAAACTAGACAATGCAATTTTATTAGTATCGGCGACGTTTGTTTGGAGCAAATTCAGCTCCAGGGGCTGCACGGTTGAATGCAGGAGGGGTTCCACCAATTGCCCCTATTCCTTCCATTGTAGCAGCTTGGCCGAAGCGTTCGGTAGTTGGTGGGGTCTTAAAGGGAAAAAGAGTAACATTACAATATAACCTATGTCCTCAGCTTCCCACCCATCTGCAGTCCCTCCCTTGGAGGCCAAGCCATCTCCACCCAATTTTTCAAAGCTCCTGATGCTGGGGGTACCTAAGCCTGTTTAGTATTCTAGTGGATAGATGTCCCTGAGGGGAAGGTTGAGTGGATTAGACCCACCCACCCATCCCGTCTTTTACGTTTTTATCCCTATTCTTATTGGATAAACAATATTACACACGAAATTCCTAAGATGGGTAAGTTCTACCTACATCTTTTTTTCCTGAACTAGGTACATGGACAAGGGCAGGACATCACTCTCCAAGCAACCTGAAGCCCACCCAGTTTTAATGTTTCCGACATGAGAACTAAAACTACCTCAGGACTGTATGAACCCTAAAGCCTTTTGGATTCACACCGATTTTATGCGATCATGCCTAGCCCTCACTGCCTTCTCTTCAAAAAAGAAGTATCCAGGGTAGCAACGGAGCAGTAAGACGGGCCCATCAGAGGCATCTGCTTACTCCTAATAAAGCATAGTTTGAGACTGGGTTTGCTCAAGATTCAAAAATAAAGATCTAGAGGTTACATTTAATGGATAACAGTGGTTCTAAACACTGTTATCTGTAGCAAAATCGGGGCAGGCCCAGGGACTGCGGAGGCAAAGTCCTTCCTTCTCCTATCACCATTTAGAGTTACTGTAAGGCCCTACAGTTTATTACCAATCCCAAGGTTCCATCTGGCATCATAGTGGCAGGTCCTGGAGGAGCTGGGGTACCGGCAGGCACAGGAGCAGGGGGCATGGCGCCTCTGTTATTTATGCCCATAGCACCTAAAGCAGAGTAGGGTGATCAGTACAGCAGACAGGTATCGTCGGTGTCTTTCTGTTCTAAAGGAAACAATTCAACAAGACCTTTGGGCTAAGACACGTTAGCCCACCCCCCAAAATGATGCTCCCAGAAATGTGAACCACTTAAATCTGGCCTATATGAGATAAGATACATAGTTCACCAGAGGTGAGACAAAAAAGGAAATCAGAGCCATTAGCCTCATGATTCCTTACCTCCCATAGCCATCTGGCCCATTCGTATCTCCTGCTCTCTCTGAAAGACAAAGAAACATGCTTTGTGTCTAAGACAGCACTGTGCTCTACCACAATCTCTTGAGGACCACACACTAAGGGAAGTAGAGTGATAACACATCCCAAGTGCACTGAGACCAAGTTGAGGAACACCAACAGCTCCTCCTAAGTCATGCAGTGAGTTCAAGATCAGCTAATAGGAAACAAGTCAAGAGTCTCCTCTTAGGTATAAGAGAGTTGAAAGGAAAGAGGATAGTTGATTTCTTCTACAGCTCCAACCTGTGTAACTGCGAGGACAGCAGCGGACTAACCAAGGCTGTTACGGAACTGGATCCACCCCATCCTGCAGTCACTGAGTCTAAATAGCATATACAGGCCCCAGCTTTTCATCCTAAATTGCCTGTGAGGCAAAAAAAAAAAAGCTCTCCTTCAAACCTTACCTTTCCTTCCTATGAATTCTTTCTAAAAGGAATTTCACAGACAGAAAAAACTGATCATAACCTGATGTATTATATAGTCCCAGTGGCAGACAATTCATGATGGCTGTCATATCATGACTGGCCTGGTACATCATAGGCACAAAGGAGATATACCGCATCAGGGAAGGTTCCCTTGAATCCTTCCTGCTGTCGCCGCATCATTTCTTCCTGCTGTCGCCGCATCTCTTCCTCACGGCGCCTGCGCTCCTCCTCCTGCCTACACAGAGAGTTGCCAACGTATTTAAGCGGAGGCATTCCAGAACATGAGCAGATAATAGGGGACTCAGCCAAGGGGATCAAGACTCTAATGAAAACTCAATAGTTCTCCAGGAAATTCAGCATTAAATGTGCCCAGCCCTAAAGCAGCCCAGATATGTCTCTTGGGGGAGAAGAAAAGTTCTCAAAGGAGCCTCACAAGACCAGCATTCAGCTGCCTTCTCTTTAGTGTAGCCCTGAATAATTCCCAGAACAATGGGCAGCTGAAACATCTCTCCTCCAAAGGGAGAACTTCAGAAACAGCCAGAAATGTTTGCCAGCATATTTACAAATGCATGAGGTAGCATGGTGGTAGGAAGGAGTGAGACGTTACCTTTTAGAGTTGTCAGAGAAAAGGGGTTGAGAAGAGTTACCTAAGCTCCAGTTGCTTTCGTTTTTGTACTTCTTGGTTGTGCAGCTCTTCCATCCTCCGAAGTTCTTCTTGACGCCTCATCAGATCTAGAAAGACAACATACTGATTGAAAGTACTCTTCACTCTCCTCATATGGGCCCAATAATTTTCCATAATTAAAGATCTAGAAAGCAAAGGGGATATATAATCCCTGAGTGGCCATCCGAGGTATCCAGATTCCAAAAATAAAGCCAAACCTATTATTTCCTTCTCCACAGAATCCAGTATTCTCTGCCACATCTCCAAGCTCATTTGCCTACCAAGATCAACAAAATATTTCAGAGAATAAAAGTAGAGGTTTAGGCCTTTCTCTACTGATTGATACAAAGAAACTCTGGAAAAACACTTATTTTGATTCTTCTTCTAGTTTTAAAGACTTACAGGCCTATACTCACCCTGCCTCATTAGCATGACCTGGTGCTCATGGCGAGCAGCCTCCATCTCCATCTCCAGTTTCTCGCGAGCTTCCTTGATGTTGCGGTCCACTTGGTCCTGCTGCTGTTTCTCCATCTCAATAAGTGCCTTCCAGCGCATGGCATATTCATACTCAAAGGAGCCAGGCTGTGCAAATCTAGGTGGCTGCTCCCGCTCCCTAAAGACAAGATTCATGGGTTACTAAAACTCTGTCCAAGATTCTAACTAAGCAAGGCTTTCCTCCTGAGGACCAAGATAATGGCTGCCAGTGAACACATATAGCAAAGGCCTGCCTCTTTTACACATCTTTTTACAAGCGTCCTTAAGAACAGACAAATAACCTAACAGGGAATCTGTCAGGACCACATACTTGTGAAATTGCTGGTTCTTTATAACCAGCTTCTCTGGAAGTCCCTCTTCATCATCTAACTGGTCCATGGGCTCCACAGTCACAGGGCGAGGAAATCTGGGAAAAAGAAAGATTGAATTATACCCTATACAAGGCTTCTTCTCTACATCTGCCACTGACACAATGAACTAGTTTTGGAGTTCAGGCCTAGACAATTAATCTTTTGAAGGGGTTTTATACCCAGTCCCAAGTAACTAATTCCTTTTAATAGTATTATGTGCAATCTGAGGTTGATAGGATCAAGTCAAGCTTCAGATCCCCGAATGCAGCCTTAAAAAAATGTTCAAAGTAAGTAGATATGGTACTTAAATGCAGCCTAAATATCTGGTTATTTACAGAACTCTAGACAACAACTTGTAGTAAATACTGATACCGCATGCACAAAACAACTTTCAGACTTACAAAACTTCAAAGGGGAGATTTAATATTGATTAAATGATGACCCGCTGATGGACTAACAAAGTTTATTTCTTAATCCTTCCACTACTTGCATTAATTTAAGACTGCATTGAAAAATCTTACTAGAAAGCTGAATTAGTATCAACAGTCTTTAAATGAACAAAGGAATAGGGTTCCTAAAGGCTACCTCCCCAGGCCACAAAAGGAAGTAGCTATCTAAGGTCTATTTCTGAAAACGACCCCTCACTCACGTAGTTAGCAGGAAGGAGCCTTCACTGCATCTGTCCAGAGCTTTCCGAGCAGCCGGCTTCCCTGAGAATTCAACAATGCCTTTTCCTGAGGGCCTTCCTCGATCATCCACAATGACAACAGCCCTCTCCACTTGGCCAAACACAGAAAAGGCTTCCTCCAGCAGTTCGTTGGACACATACTGAGGAAGGTTTCTAACTGTAAGGGATGCACTATGGCAGGCAAAGCGCACACGCAGCTGCTTTCCACGGAGTGGCATGTTGTCCAGCTCTACTTTTGCAATCTCCGCTAGGGTTCTTGTTTCCTAGGAAGGAGAGGGAAGTTAGAATAATTCAGTTTGACAGAACAACTGCACAGTTATCAAGAATCTAAAGTAGCACAGCTCAATACAAATGTCTCAAAGGAACAGGAGTTTAGCTAAAAGTGTACCAAGAAACATGGATCGAACTGGAAGAACGGAACTGTGTGTTTCAGTTAACTCTCTGGTTAGCATAAGTGCTCTGATTGCCTGGCAATAAACCAGCTGGAAATCCTAAAAGTTAGTAACACTTACATGGTCATCAGTATCACAGGTTATTCTCCAAGTGGTAACAGAGCATGTGGACAATGATCAGCCTAAAACCTACCCTTACAATACAGTAGCTAGAATATTTAAATTTCAGCTAGCTATATATACAAGTTACCAGAATCACTTATGTCCTCCAAGAGGCCTCTTTAGAACCACAGACCTTGATGGGGCCCCTCTTTATACCACTAAAGAGGAATACGAGCCCCAGAAACATGACTTCCCTATACAGTCTTGAGTGAGTAGTAGATCTGGAAGGAATACTAGTTCTGACCACATCGCGTTCCTCATTTATGGAGACAAATAATCGCTAGAACAGTGCCCCCCATACACTTGACATGTTTCCTAAATCAAATTAGATGTTTAAAAAAAGGACCTACAGATCTACACTTAAAAATAATTAAGATGATAAGTTTTATGTGTATTTTAGCAAAATTACATGAAACAATAGATACGAATAAAACTCTCCCCTCATGGCTTTAAATAGTCTTACATGAGACAATATGTGTAGAAGGGCTCTGGAAATAAATGATATAAACTTTGACCATTACTAAAATAAAAACCTTTTACCATATTTCCTGGGGGAAAAAACCCAACATACTAACATACTTATAAGGAGTAGAAAATAGGAGAAGAGTATAGATGAACTATGAGTTGTTAATTCCTGATGCTAAGTAGTCTGTCTGTTCCTGTATGTTTAATATTTCCCCATTATAAAAGTTCCAAAGGGCCTACTTTAGCCCTAGTATCTTAGGCAAATAAACCTATTTTGTTGTTGAAACAAAACAAGAACCTGAGGTTTTAAGAGACCATCTGAGAATTATTTACTGCCTAATTTTCCATACCCATCATTTCCCAGCTTTGCTCTATAAGCCCACAGTTGCTTACCAAGCGGATAAAGCCAAAGCCCTTATCCTTATGAATGAAGACTTCGCCTGCTTTCCCATATTTCTCAAATAGTTTCCTCATTTCCTCCTCAGTGATGTCAGGAGGAAGATTTCCCACAAAGAGCCGGCTACGCTGGGTGAAGGTCTTCTCTCCTGGTTTCCTAAAATTCTTCAGGTCAATAGTCAAGCCTTCATCTGCGAGAAGGGACAGTCAATCAAAGATTGAGGAAAGAGATTTACAGTCATTCTCAAAGAGCTACAACTACTGCTAGATTAGGAAACCTAATTGCTGTAGAAAAGCAAAACACTATTTCCCAATGCAATCTACCCGCTAACCACTTATCCTTAAATTGCACCCTTAGAATGTGAAAGCAGTATAAAGAGATCTGGGGGGGATGTCTCAACAGCTCTACTGTGGGCCAGAACCCAACCTGGACTGTCATAGACAGAAAGACAATACGGGGGGGCTATTGGCCAAAGAGAAAATCATGCAAGTCAAGGAATTCTATGTGAGAAGGGACAAATTTTTAAATGTGTAACATAACTGCTCTATTTCCCTATCTCGCCAATCTTCATAACCTTAACAGTTCCCATTCTTTCATGTTTGGGGGTAACAGAATGTAAAGAAATGAATTAGAAAAGAGTATTCTTTGTAGAAATCTCTGGAAATAAAGAGGGTTAAAGTTGGTTCTAGTCTCAAAGGCATACAATAGGGGTTCGAAGTTTGCTGAACTGGGAACATAACTTTTAAAGACTTTTCACCAATTAAAAATGGGCTGGCACAGGCACCAGGCTAAAAGTGTAATAATACTCAGTACCAGACTACTTCTCTGTTAAGTCTTAAAGACTTGTTTTATATGTTCCCTAACTACCAGTCATCTGATTACCTCTAAGAAATGAAGCTCTGAGGTAAAACATGCAGAGATCTGCTTAGCAATAAAATGTGTAAACACAGCAAAGCAACCTATACTCAACTGCTATCCTACAACATGTCTGCTCCTGGGTTTCAGAGAATCAGCCCTTTTCTATCCTAAGAAGTATAAAGAGGTAGAGAAAAGAAGAACAAAGACCTATTTTTTTATAATCCCAAAAGACTAATCTAAAATCCAAGGACCCACTCCCAAGAGGGAACGCTATTCTCTATATCATCACTTAGCATGCACTCACTTTGGCTGCTGGCTTGCTGTCCGTTTGCAGGTATTGGTGGTGGCGGTGGCTGCTGCTGCTGCTGCTGCTGTTGCTGTTGCTGCTGCTGTTGCTGCTGCTGCTGCTGGTGGTGCTGCTGGTGGTGATGCTGATGATGCTTCCTTGGAGCATGGTTTTGCTTCTCCAAGTTAAAGGTTTTATTGCTCTGCATTTTTGAACCCTAAAAAATAAAATATGAACTGTCAAATACATTCAGTGCTAAGAATGTAATTAGTCACCTTTGCTACCCTAGCTTTTAACAGACCCAAACAATTGGTTATTTTGAACAAGTGTGGCAAAGGAGCATATTAAAAAATATAATATAAAAAACAATCAGGTATTAGCAGTTATGTGACACACAAAAACTAGACAAGTACCAGACGAGAACAGCTTGTACCAGGAATGACTTGAGGAATCTGCTAGTTCAATAATTTTACACATAATAGGAAACTACCTTCCCAAAAGATTCTATCCCCTAAAAATTGGCCCTATCATAATATTAAAGCACATTAAAAAAACATAACAATTGAAACAGATTCTAGTTACCACAAGGACAAGAATTAATGTCTTGTTCTCCTCTGGCACCTTGCACAGTCCTAGCCTACACTAGATACTATGGAGTGAACAGCAGGAAAAGTATGGGCTGTAGAGTTAGAGATACTTAGATTTCAAGCACGGTCCTAATACTAGGTATGCACTACTTAGTAGTAAATTACTTCTGCATCAGTTTCTTAAGCTATTATAAAAAGTATAATAAATACCTACCTTTTGAGGTGGCTATGTTGATCAATAAATATGTGAAAACAATAGTTCAAGTACTGGCATATAGTAAGCACTCACTAAATATTGTTGCTAATCACAATGGAAAGGTAAATGGTTACCAAAGCAATGAGCAACAAATATACAAGATGAATATGCAAATATAAAATATCAAATTCTGTCATTTAAAAATCAAAATAAGATAAAAAACAAAATGAAAAGTCCTGGTATAATTCAGACTAAATTCAAAAGTTGATGGTTTTAAACTGCAAATTTTCTAACTGATCAATTTAACAAACTGAGGGCAGGCTTTGGCATCCAAAGATAGTTCTTTAGTAAATGAAATAAAAGGGCAAAGTCAATTCTATATCCTTTCTCCTAAACATAAGACCCTGTAGTCAGAATTCAGCTAAAGGAAAGATACAGAAAATGACTTTTTTTGTGAATACTGTGTTAACATTATATGATTCCTTTAAAATAGTACAGGTTATATTTCATAGATACAATTATGAAATACTCTATCCACAAGTTGTTTCATGACACAACAGGTAACAAGAGCTATCAAGATGTTCATATTCTTTAACTCAGAAATTCTATTCCTAGAAATTCACCCTAGGAATATAACTTTAAAATTTAAAAATCACATACATGAAATAGTCACTGTGATGGCCTTTATGGTAACAAAACAATAAAAATGACTGACACACCCCATATTGGGGGCAGAGTTTTTAAATAAATTATGGTATATCTATACAGTGGAATGTTACACAGTATTAAAAATTATAAAGACCATGCAAACATGAAAAAATGCCTATGCCTGAAGAGGGAAAGGGTTGTTTTTTTTTAAATGCATGACTGTAGACAAGTAACAAAAGGTAGGCAAAAACGGTAACTGTCCTGCCTGTAGGTTATTGATAATTTTTTTTTCACTAACTTTGTTACTAATTCATTCAACAAATAAATAATCACTGAATACCTCCTATTTGCTAGGCACTATTTTAGGTACTTGGGGTGCATGATGGACAAAGCAAAGATTCTTACCTTCTGGGATCTTACCCTCCAGCAAGAGACAAAACAATATACATAATAATTAAATTACATAGTACTTAAGAAGAGGTGTGACAGGAAACTAAAGAAAAAAGGGTGGAGGGCAAAGTGGATAGGGAATGAAAGGTAGAAAAAGACAGCAATTTTAAATAAAACTGTGAGGTAAGCCTCACGGGAAAGTTGACATTTAAACCCAGACTTGAATTTTCTCATTTTTTATGTCACTTCGTCAATTTTATGTCTCTCATTAATAAGCACTTATGACGAAATACTTCTTTGTTATCCAAAGACCCAGTACTAAAAAAGTCACTGTTAACATTCTGGTATATACCCCTCCGGTCACTGATTTATATATTTGTAGGTACTCTAAATAGGATATTGTAAAAACTATCTTATAATAGTTTTATAATACCTTTTCTACTTTATGACACATGACCAACAGTTTTCATGTCACTAATCTTCTACATTAATTGTTAACGGACATGGTATTCAGCTGTCAACTAAGCCACTGTTGTGTTGGACAGCTGAGTTGCTCCTAATTTTTCACCATTATAAACAATGCTCATAGCTAAATCTTGGGGCACACTCCTGAGCAAATGTTCCGCTCACAATTTCCATTTTTGCTTCTTTAGCTTCCAATACATTATCAGTTCAATGACTAATCATAATGCACCATTGTATATCCAGCTTCTCCTCATTTCTACAGTGTCAACATACTTATAATTTTTAGCAGCCATATAAAGCCCATATGGATTTATTAAACTACTGAACTATTTACTCTCTACTATGGGACACTTAGGTTGTTTTCAATGTTTTCTTATTATAACGCTGCAGTAAATATCTTTGTGCTTGTAGCTTTCTGCTTAATTATTTCCTTAGGATAAAAATAGAATAAACGAATCTGTTGCCACAGTGCAGCACTGTTTTCTCAAAAAGTTGTAAGAACTTTAAATGCCATGAATAGGTTTAACAGTTTCACAGAAAATGGAATACCTTTTTCAAAAATGAAAATGATTTAAAAATAAAATATACAAAAGAAATAAAAACATACAAAATTTAAGGTCTATCCCAGCAACAGCTGGGGCCAGGGTATGGTGGGCATTAGAATCAGATCTTTTCCTATTCTAATCCCAGCTATTCAACACCTCTTCCTTCTCTAACCCCAAAGTGGCTTATAACAGAAACTTGAATTATCTTCACAGCCATTTCTTCAACTAGGTCTTATCTCTGGCTAGAATCCAAGGACCCTCATACTCTACATTTACATCTTACCCACACCATATCATTTCATTTCAAAAAGACCATTTTAGGAGTGGGTTGGGTAGAGGGGGCAAAAGGGAAAAAAATTGGGAGAACAGTTAATAGAACAAAGAATAAAAAAAGCAGAAGAAAAGAAAGAAAGGCCATTTTATAACTTCTTAGTAGAAATGACCTTCCTCTTTGAGAATAAAGTGCTAGGATGTTCTAAGCCATTTAAGATTACTTCAAGGGAGGTTAGTTTTGATTTTAGAAAGTGTAGCCTGGTAGTTAAGGAAAGTGATAATAGAAGATATTTATCAGCCATTATATGCCTGGCAGTGTGCTAAGTCTGCATTCTCATTTAGTACTCACAACTATTACACTTCTGAATAAGAAAAATGATGCCCATCCAAGGTCACACAGGATGATGGAGCATGGAATAGAGACTCTCCTACTCATCACTATACTACAAGCTTTGTAATCAAACTCACCTCAGTTTCAGGGTCCAACAAACTTACTGGTAATGTCACCTAACTTCTGAGCCTCAGATTCCTCACCTGTAAGATGGGGGTAACAATATCTAATTCACGGGGCTGGTTATTTTAAGGACTAAATGAGATCATGTACATAGCAGGCACTTGTTCCTGCTGGCTGCCACTATCCTTATTTCTACATATTGTGGGTGCTTAAGTTAGACAAATGTCATCATTATATTCTTCCTCCACTCTTCTGAGTTCTAGCAAAAATCACTTGTATAACCAAATACCCCACTTTCGTGTTTTTAAATAAATGCTCCATAACATTAATCTTTATAATCTCTCCTTCAGTTTGTTCTTTCCCAACAAAGCATTCAATAATGAAGACTAAGTAATGTTGTATAAAGCCACCTACTTCAGATGACGACCACCAATGGAACTTGGAAATATGTGCAGAAATTTCTGAGTAATAAATTCACTGCCCCCTAACCATGGTACCTTTGAGAAGAGAACAAAGATCAGCAAGGATGTCTGTCCAAAAGGCTAACCCTGATGAAGGACTTACTTGACAAAATAGGTATTGTTGGTTTAGAAAGACTGGGGATACTGGGCACAGACGTTTAGATACAGGACCAAGTACTGTATCACACATATCTGAAATCTAAATAAATGTCCCCTTAATTTTCAGGACAAGAGTCAACTTTTTAAGTAGAAACAGCAAGGAAAATCGGTAAAAATCTACCAGAGTGAGACGGCCTCCTGGTTATGGACCAGCCTGAAAGCTGTAGAATACACTGACAGGGTAAATTCCTTTGCTAAAAAAAAAAAAAATTCTAAGAGTTTCTTAGGACCTTCCATTTAATAACAAGGAAGTTGGACAAGGACAGTATAAATCTAGCTGGTGTCCTCCCATTAGTTAGCAGATTTATCAAATAAAAATACACAACATGGTAAAATTTTAATTTACGATGAAAAACAAACTTTTGGTGTGTAAATCCCATGCAACGTATACTACAAAACAATTCGCTATGTTAAATTCTATTTAACGGGGCGTCCTATATTTTATCTGGCTACCCTACACCTACCTCAACCTAGATTTAAGATAGCAAAGTGCCTCCTAGTCTTCTCTAACCTTGACTTCTCTGTTAAGAACACAAAGGTGTCACCTTACGACAACCAGTTCTCCAAGTGGAAAATATTCGATAAAAAAATTCCATAAATTTTTCATTTTTTAAAAAGTGATGCTCCGCATGGGTCGAGTCGCTAGGCAACAAGACTTAAAAAAAAAAAAAGGTGGGGCGTAGAGGAACCTGAGGAGGAAAGCGGCGGGGTCTGGACGAGCAGATGAACTTCCCTGCTAAGAGTTTTGACAAAGAAACACCGCTCGGGGGGCCCCGTTGCTCATTCGGAATTCATGGCCTCGCGAGGCTGAGGGGAGGAGCGCCCGACAAAGCGCCTCCTCCTCCTGCCGCCACTCCAAGGCTCTGGAATGATAGACCCCACACCCTCAGGCCCAAGGAACTTACTGACAGGACTAAGATTCGAGGCCACGTCGCACAAAGAAACGCGGCGCGAGTCAGCTTTGAGCGCGATAAGCCGCCGCATGCGGGTGGACTGGTAAGCCCGGGAGGCGACGGGGACAAGGCCTCAAGGGGCCTCGGAACGAACCGCCAGCCTCCTTCCAAACCTAGCCTAGCCCTAGCCTCTTCCTTCACCGATTGTCGCGAGAAATCCTACTCCTCTCTCAAACGAGAAATAAGTCGACCCCAAACTCACCCTCTACCGACTGTTCTTTCCTCAGAGTAACGGCGACGCTACACGGCCTCTACCGTCCCAAGAAAAGAGCGCGCGATGGCCGGAAACGAGACGACGGAGCTCGGTGCCTCCCCAGGGGTACAAAGTGGCCTTCTCGATTGGTTACCTAAACTGCCAATCAAGGTTCATCTTCAGAGGCGGAATCAGTTTTCCGCCATTTGTATGATCCTATTGGCTGCCGAATGCGAAAGACTTAGGTTCTTGTGAACGACAGATGGGGACAAAGAGCGAGGCTTTGTATCTAATGCGCACGCGCTAGTGGCGTCCGCTAGAGACCGAAAAGGAAGGGGGGAGGGGGATGGAGGCTCGGAAGGAGAGACGTAAACGGGCTAACGGAAAGACTGGAAGACCAAGTGGTGGGAGGGGGAAAGGAGAGGGGGAAAAAGGGAGAGAGAGGAAAATGGAAAGCGAGAGAAAGGGAGAAAATGTGCGTGTTAGGCGTGCTGTGAGGATTCCTGCACTGCGCCTGTGCAAGAAGCAAGAGTAACAATGTCATTGTATTCGGTTTGGTAGATCTGGCCTTTTCCTACTGAAAAAAAAAAGGCCCCGCCATGTTGCTTTTTCACACTTCCTCATTAGGGCTTGCACTCTGACACTGCACACTTCATCAGCTTTCTAGGTGCTTCGTCTGCTGCCAGGTTTGCTCATGAAGCCCAACTGAAATAATCGTAACTACGGTTATGGTTGTGGTTATAAAAGGGGGTGGGGGAGGGGAGGAAGGATCGATGCCCCATCCTCTGTGATTACATAGACTTGTAGCCAGGTACTCATTTCCATGGTAACCAGGAAAACCAGCAGTCTGAACACCACTCACTATTGTTCCTAAGATTTACAGAGATTCAACAGGTGTCATCATTGCCATGGGTACGCTGTAGCTCTGATCAGACTGATTCTATATTCTGTAGGACACCAATCAGGTAATCGCCTTCATTTTTCAGTAACGCCTAAATAGCCCTGTGGTTAATCAAGGGCTACGAAGCTCAGCTGATAGGTCTTTGTAGTTAATTCCCACTGATTAACTAAGTCACACTCAGGGTTTCAGGGTGTCCCAACTGGCTCCACCTTCTGTGGAGACATAGTGAACTAGACCTGCACTGTCCAATAGAGCCTTCTGTGACGATAGAAGTGTTCTGTGTCTGCTCTGTTCAATAAAGTAGCTACCGTCAATACATGACCATTGAGGGCTTAAAATATGACTAGCATGACTGAGGAACTGACTTGTTAATTCTATTTCACTTTAATTAGCTAAAATTTAGTCATATATAGCTGGTGGCTACCATAATTGGGCATACTATCTAGACCAGCGGTGCCCAAACTCCTTGATAATTAATAACCTCTATTATAAAAAAAGAAATTTTATCTCTATCTTAACCGAAAAAGACATTTTTTTTTTCCTGCTCATGGAAAGAAAATCAAACAAAACTCAATAATGTAAGGAGAAAAGTCTTTCTCTACTCATTCCAATGGTTACAATTATGACTACTTTCTTACATTTCTATTATCTATGTTTGTACTGTCCTGGTCAAACAGCAATGTTTATACTTTTTTATATATGTAGGATTAAGCTAGACATACTTTTCTGAGTCATGGCCTCACTGAAAAAATACCGTAGCTATCTTTCCATATAAATACATAAAGGTTTAAAATATTTACTGAGAAAGGGGAAGGGAGAGAGAAGGAAAGGGGGAGAAACATCAATGTGCGAGAGATGCATCAATCATTTGCCTTTCGCCCACCACTAACTGGGGACCTGGCCTGCAACCAAGGCATGTCCCTGACTGGGAATCAAACCAGCAACCCTTTGGTTCACAGGCCAGTACTCAATCCACTGAGCCACACCAACCAGGGCAAATACATAAGATTTATAGACACTTTTTAATATTAAGTACTACATGTTGGTTTTTAGTATCTATTGTGGGAACAAAATTGTTAAAAAGGTCCTCTAGATCAAAAGTGTACATTATTTGTGCACCTCCTCAAGACAATCACAACATAAGCAGAGAAATGTTAATGAAAACAAATCATTCCAATACTGTCAGCAAATAAAAGAATAGTAGCATATTAGAGGTAAAGTGGTAACTCAAAAGAATGAGGCTCTGCTTGAGTGGATCAGAATGGCTTCACAGGAAAGAGCATCTTTGAATTGGGTCTTAACCTAGAGGTTGAAGTCAGACCCATAATTAGTGGGAATTAACTACAAAGACCTATCAGCTGAGCTTGATTAACCACAGGGCTATTTAGACGTTACTGAAAAATGAAGGCGATTACCTGATTGGTGTCCTACAGAATATAGAATCAGTCTGATCAGGAGATCTACAGCGTACCCATGGCAATGATGACACCTGTTGAATCTCTGTAAATCTTAGGAACAATAGTGAGTAGTGTTCAGACTGCCGGTTTTCCTGGTTACCATGGAAATGAGTACCTGGCTACAAGTCTATGTAATCACAGAGGATGGGGCATCTATCCTTCCTCCCCTCCCCCACCCCCTTTTATAACCACAACCATAACCATAGTTACGATTATTTCTGTTGGGCTTCATGAGCAAACCTGGCAGCAGGCAAAGCACCTAGAAAGCTGATGAAGTGTGCAGTGTCAGAGTGCAAGCCCTAATGAGGCAGAATGACCTGTGCTTTAGGTAACGTCACAGCTGAAGAGAAGTGAGAGGCTGAATAATAGGAAATTAGGCTAGCGAGATAGGCTTAGGCCAAATCATTAAGGGCCTGTACCATGCTTATAAGTTTGTAGTTTAAACTGTAGGTGATGGGGAGACATCGAAGAGTTTTTTTAAAGATAATTTATATTGTCCTTTCTGATTATAACAGTAATATAAAAGTAGTATGTGCTCTCTGAGGGGAAAACTTGAAAATACACAGAAGTATAAAAAGCATCATAATCCCACTATGTAGAAATAACTGTTAACATTTTGGTATATTTTCTTCCAAACTATCACACATATGCACGTGTGTATGTGTGTGTGTGTGTGTGTGTGTGTGTGTGTGTGTGTGTATACGGGGTTCATATACATAGATACAGAGAGATATATAAAGAGACAGGGACAAACAGACTGAAATACAGGAATAAAGGAATAAATGTGTTCAGTGTATGATAGGTTTGAACTTCAGAAAGATTACTGTATTCATGTCCTAAGGCTGCTGTAACAGAAGAAATTTATTCTGTCGTAGTTCTGGGAGCCAGAAGTCTGAAATCAATATCAGTGAGCCGAAATCAAAGTGCTGGCAGGGCCACGATCCGTCAGGAGGCTCTAGGGAAGACTGTTTCTTGTCTTTTCCAGCCTTTGGTGGATTCCTGCAGCATTCCTTGGTATATGGCTGCATCACTCCAATCTCTGGCTTCGTGGTCACATGGCCTTTTCCTCTTTGTGCGTCAAATCTCCTTCTGCCTCTCTCTCTCTCTCTTTTTTTAAAGATTTTTATTTATTTGTTTTTAGAGAGAGCTGAAGGGAGGGAGGAAGAGAGAGAGAAACATCAATGTGTGGTTGTCTCTTGCACGCCCTCCACCGGGGACGCGGCTGGCAACCCAAAAACCGGCAGCCTTTGGTTTGCAGGCTGGCACTCAATCCACAGAGCACACCAGCCAGGGCTCCCTCTGCCTGTTTTTTTAAAAATTTTACTTATTTATTTTTAGAAAGGGGAAAGGAGGGAGAAAGAGAGAAACATCAATGTGTGGTTGCAACCCATGCACCCTCTGCTGAGGACCTGGCCTGCAACCCAGGCTTGTGTCCTACACTGGGAATCAAACTGGCAACCCTTTGGTTTGCAGACTTATACTCAAACCACTGACCCACACCAGAGGGCTGCCTCTCTTATAAGAACACTTGTGCCCTGGTTAGTGTGGCTCAGTGGATTGAGTACCAGGCTGCGAACCAAAGGGTCACTGGTTCAATTCCCAGTCAGGGGCCCTGCTTAGGTTGCTAGGGCCCAGTCCCCAGTGGGGGTTGTGAGAGAGGCGACCACATATTGGTGTTTCTCTCCCTCTTTCTCCCTTCCTTCCCCTCTCTCTAAAATTAAATAAATAAAATATTTTTTAAAATGACATGTTTTTAAAAAAGGCCCTAAATGTAACAGCAAGTGTCCTTTTTTTAAAAAAAAAGATTTTATTTATTTAATTTTAGAGAGAAGGGAAGGAAGGGAGAAAGAGGGAGAGAAACATCAATATGTGGTCGCCTCTCGCATACCCTCAACTGGGGCCCTGGCCTGCAACCCAGGCGTGTGCCCTGACTGGGAATCGAACCAACAACCCTTTGGTTCACAGGCCAGTGCTCAATCCACTGAGCCACACCAGCCAGGGCCATTTAGGGCCTATCTTGATAATCTCCCCATATTAAGATTTTTAACATAATCATATCTGCAAAGTCCTGCTTTTTGCCATATAAGGTACATTCACAGGCTCTAGGAATTAGGACAGGGATATCATTAGGGGTACAATATTCAGCTTTCCACAGTCACCCTGGCAACAGTATGTAGAAAAGATTGGAAGAGATAACCTAAGAGATAGGGACACATGTTAGAACACAACAATAATAATTTCAGGTGAAAGATGAGAAAGGCCTGAACTCAAACAGTGGTTGCAGGGATAGAGAAAAGGAAACCAAACCTAAATATTTAGAAGGTAGGATCAAGGGGACATAATAACCCATTAAGTGTATGGGGATAAGAAGTGGAGGAAGAGTAGAATGATTCCCAAGTTTGTGTTCTGGGTGCCTGGCTGTCTGGTTGTGCCACTGACCAGGATAGGAAACAGAGGAGGCAGAGTATCATTGGGAGAAAGTCAATCAGTGCAATTTCGGTCAAGTTGAGTTCATGGTGAGAGGAGTCAGCCAAGCAACATAAGAAAAGAAGGGTCCAAGGGAGGTTCTGAGAGGTCATTGTTTTCTCATTACTACCATTATCAGTCACATAATATTTACTGAATACTTTCAAGGTACTGAACATAATAATATGTGCTCTATCCGCACTAAGGTTGATTACTGTGTCCTCAATAAATTCCCAAATAACTAGACAAATAGGAAGCTTCAATCAAGAGAAAGTGAATGGGCCTGATCAGT